ACGCACGTTTGTGACTCTCATGTTCGAACTCGTCCATCAAAATGAACGAATCTTTTTCCGAGTCATTTGGTTCATTCAACGAACGAGAAAAATGCTGGAATGTTTTCATCAAAAACCTTAATTTCTTTTCGACTGAAGAAAGAAAGACATGGATATCTTGGATGACATGGGGTGAGTAAATCATCAGCAAAAGTTTTTTGAAAAGTGAACTACTCCTTTAAAAAGTGTGGGAAGGAATTTGAATTAACCAATAAAAAACATCAGGGAGTGGCGCGTGCATGGAACGTAAGTAGACAGGGTGGGATAGCTGCAGGTCAAAGTAATGGGTGTTCTGAAAGGTAGGTGCGAGCCAAAGTGTACACAACAGAAACTAAGCCCTAACCCTACCCCACATCCTAACAAGCAGCTTTCACCAACAATTGTAAAGACCTTTCGGAATATCACTGCCTTTAGCACGCCAATTACTCTAACCTGCAGATACCCACTTAACTGTGTCTGTGAGAACGTGAGACGAAAGCAAGAGTCACGTGAATGTCTCCTCTGTGCTGGATCATTATCCTTTCAATGTGATAATAACCAGTGTCTTATATTTGCAAACAGCCAAACTGAATGGGGGAAAGTTGTGGAAATAGATGAACTAATAATTATAGAGTTAACAGCGTACACGGTTATATCAGTAGGCTACTTTCGGTCATAGAATTTGAATCTAAACAAACTTGAATGACGATCTGTGAATGAGCAGATTTTATCGTTATGTTGAACTGAAAGCCTGTGAATGAACACCAACTATTACTAATTTATCTGAAAATATTATCTAAAGGTTTTTTTAATTTAACTTGTAACACAGTACAGCCCATCTAAGGATTCTCAAATTGTATGAACACTCTTAAAAAAAAAAAAGTAAAAAAAAGAGCCTTTAAAATCCATGGAATTTTATAATCCTCAAAATGTTCTCTACAAAGGTAAAAAAAAAAAAAAAAAAAAAGAAAAAAAAAACTTTTTTTAAACCTAAGCCTGAAGACATGATAGTTTTTGTGTGAGGACCATTTGTCAATTTTCACTGAATCTTTCTACGATGTTTAACTATTTGCCCACATCATCCTCAAAAACCACCAAATAAAAGTCTTGGTTTGAGACAGATCAGAACCAGTTGTGTCAGTAAAGGACTTTAAAAACTAGTAATTTAGCCATTAAGTTGTCCTTCTAAACACATCCTCCTCATAGCAGAAATCTGTATAGTAAGTCAAGCCAGACAGTCTTGCCAAAGACTGGCAGCAACATGCCAGGAAAAAATCATGGCTGGTTAATATTTGGTCTTTTTGGAAGCCAGGTGATGACACAGCACTGTTTCACATTAAAACCAATTGCATGCTGTTCAGCCGAGACTTAACAAGATCCAGCCACGATTATTAATTTGGTTTCAGATCCTTTGGCTTGTAAGATCAGATCTAAAGCACATTAAACCATTCAGTTTCACACTGGTGAGCAAATCTACCCTTCAGGACCGGAATATGACCAACATAATATTGCAAATTCATGTTCATGGAAAAAAAAAAAAAAAGAAGAAAAAAGTTCATTAAAGGCGTGTTGGAGATGGCAATCTAACAAAGGCGCCATTCAGTTTTAGTCCTGACCTGTTTGTTACCATCATATCAATAAACACATCGACAGCTATGCAAAACAAACTGTGAAAGCTTTCCGTGAAATCTGAAGCTTATCAGCACAGGATGTGTCTAGAAAGAATATCATGAGACTCTTTTACAGGGGATTTGGAGCAGGTCTCACTAACTTCTCTTGTAGAATCTTCTACTTCAAAATGTTATCCTCAGTCCTCTGTTCTTAGTTGACAGGAGTGGTTCCAGGAGTGATCTTCTGCTGCTATAGTCCATCTGCTTCAAGGTTTGACGTGTTGTGTTTACAGAGATGCTCTTCTGCAGAGCTTAGTTGTAAAAAAAAGTGGTTATTTGAGTTACAGTTGCCTTTCGATCAACTCGAAACAGTCTGGCATTCTCCTCCGACCCCTGGCATCAGAAAGGCCCACAGAACTACTGCTCACCATTCTCTGTAAACCCTAGAGATGGTTGGGCATGAAAACCATGCCACTTTCAGTCACTTAAATCACATTTCTTCCCCGTTTTTATGTTCAGTTTGTCATATAATGGAAGTATATGGGGTCCACTCCAAAAAGCATGCACAGAGAAGTCCAAATTCCACATGATTTAATGACCCGTAAATGTAAGTACACATTGATGGCCTAAGACACGAAACGAGCGGTTTGTGTGAGAAAACAGACAGTATTTATATAGTTTTTACCTACGTCCAAGTACTGCGCAAGCACTGGCAAGCGCCGGAAAGTACGTCACTCATTGTTTACACAGAGATTTCAGGAGTGTTACCCTTCACTGTGAAGATCTAAACATATTTAGATATACAGAAAATTGCAATGGAAGACAATTCCGATATATCAACAGACAACGGTGATTTTTTTTTTTTTTTACGTAACGGCGCAAAAGATCACTTCCGGTGCTTGCGGAGACCGAAGCGCCCGTGCCTTCAGATCACTTGGACGTGGCTGTGGTTACAAGAGGTAAAAACGATATGTTTTCTCACAAACCGCTCGTTTCGTGTCTTAGGCCATCAATGTGTACTTACATTAAATCATGTTTAATTTGGACTTCTCTGTGCATGCTCTTTGAGGTGGACCCCATAAACCTCCATTATATGACTGACAGACAAGAACGGTTTGACCTAAAAATATCAAAATTGAAAATACCGTGGAAACAAAGAGGTAAAGTTTACATTGAGATAAGTTAAAACATTAAAAAAAATAATTTCAAAGTGAACTATCCCTTTAACAAAAAAAGTAACAATTTTGCATCATGGAAAAACCACTGTAATGCATGGCTTCTTAGAGGGCTTATTTATTTATTAAAACATAATCCAAGTCTAACAACATATAACAGCGCTGATATTTAATATCAGTAATCATCACTTTATTAACTTTATAAATGACAAAAGACATTTTATCCTCAATATGGTATTACTATGTTGGTTTAAGCCAAATATTGAGAAAGAAAATAAATGTATTTAAATGAGCATGGTTTACTTCAGGTTCGAAAACCCACAGATATTCAAGTACAGACAAGAACTCCACTCAGTTTCTCAAGCAAAACCACTAAACCTGCTCATTCCACAAACACACACCTTTAAAATAACATTCCTCATGTGTGAAACGGGCCACTGGAGGAGGAATATCAGGATCAGTGGGTCAAACAAAACACAGGCAGCTCACTGGAATATCGGCCGACTGTAAAAGGTGAACAATCGCACAGGACTGAAAAAGTGCTGTGACTCAAACTTCATCAGAAAAAGGAAGGAAAACCACAAAAAATTCACTCTCAGATAGGAACATCTGAGAATGGGCTCTGTTCCAAAACCTAGTGAGCTTCTTGCCACTCACTGAGGCTCCATGAACCTGAACTGAAAACGACAGACCATTTTGGTCCTCAAAATAAAGACCAAACTGTTTCGAGAGAGCAGAGTTCAAAGTTAGCATGTCACTTAACTTACCAATGAGAGATAGATGAAGAGTTAGAGTATCAACCATAATATAATCAACATTCCTCTCAGTTCATCTTGCATTGATTTTTTTTAAGCTATTGGAAAATGTGCTCTGTTAAGTATACATGAAATATAAATTTTGACTAAAGAAGTAATCTTATAACAACACAGTCGCTGCTTTGGAACAGGTTTTTGTGTGAGCAACCATGATGCACTAAAACGCTGACTACATAGAGAGCTCACAAGGTTTTAAAACAAAACCCGTACAGAACAGAATAAGTTCTCCTGATAGCATTGATTTTGTGGCATGGAGAAAAAGAAGGTATAGCTTATTCGTTTTAAATTGAGTAACGGTCAACGGCAGAAAAGGTAAATCGATTCAGGAGTTTCATGAAGGTGAGGCTTGTTGCCCACTGCAGTTTTGGGGCCTCATTTAATTACCTGGAATGTTTGCTGGCCACCATTCGATCCTCTTTTCCGAACTCTACTACCTGTTCACAACTTGACATACATACATAATGTAATTTTACTCTGGTAAATTATTAAATACTTCAGTCATTTTTTTATAGTTGAGCATGAAAATGACTGCAATGTTCCAAAACACAAAGTCATTTCAAAGGGAGTTATTTTCTACATCAGTAATTGATGTCTCGAGTTTTCTTCTGGAAACGTACTCGTCACTCGTACTCGTTTAAATAATTCCCACCCAATGCACGTTATTATCGTGTTGAATCTCGTGGTATGGTAAGGGGCTTGGTGTTTCTAAAACATGATCAAAGCGGTTGACCAATCACAACACAACTGTGTCAGCCGATGCTTTTCAGAAGCAGGAGCTTCAAATAGACTGGAAACTAAACCGAGCATTACAGACAGACTTTTGTAAAACATTCAAGCATGAAAACCTATTCTAGTAGACCCCAAAACCATAATCAAGATTTGGGCATAATATGGCCATTTTAATCTATTGAGCTATTGAAAACATTGTTTTATCAACAAATTCAATTGTTCTTTCCGAAAAGACAGTAGCCTAGGAAAATTTTGCAAGATATTGGAAATGATAGCAGTAAGGGACTGTTTATATGGAGAAAAATACACTTATATAAAACAACATTTTTGTCCTTGTCGCTTTTGATAAAAACATTTGGTAAAATAATTAAATGAAGAGTCGTTTCACTGCAGAAAGGATGATTCAGAATACAAAAATACTACATCACGTTGAAACCTTGATTTTCTTGCCACATAGACATCTGTTTGTTTTGGGGTTTCAACAGCACACCACAGATGCTGATGATAGATCTCAATTGGTTTTGAATCTGCAAAATTCCTTTAAAAATTGTTTCACTGCATTTAGAAGATCTAATAAGCAGCTTTAAAAGGCAAACGAATGGGCTAAAACCTAAAAGGTTTTGGTTGAGAAATCAAAACATCATGCAACACAATTTTGATAAACATTTTATTAAATATAAAACATTTGCCCCAGTTGTATGGAGGCTAACAGAGAACTGAAGTATGAAAACTTCCCGAAGAAAAATAAAAAAAAAATAAAACGACTACTGTGGGAGATTGGTCCTCACATCAGAAGGCGAGGCGGCGGTTTAAGCCGATTTCCCTGTGGAGTGCATGGCTCGATCACAAGAGAATGGCCTGTATGGAACTGTATAAAAAATTAAATAACGAATCGGAGCAAACAAACTCGGATCAAATTGAACGAGAAAAGAGTTGTCATCATTTTTGTTAAGTGGCTTGTTGACATACTTTCATAGAGCTGTGCAGAATAGAAATCTGGTCATTGGTACCTGCATCCTATAGTACAATTCACGTGTTTTTCCTGCTTCACCTCCTTGTGTTCGGACAGACACATACACGCAAACACACATACACAAGCACGCTCAAAAAAATTATCACCTACAGCAACTGTGCAAAAAAAGTCTTTGGTAATCAAAGTAATTGGAGATAGAGAGAGGAAAACGTACAGGAACGAAAACGCTATCCATGACAGACGGTTATACAATCTCTAAATGTACACAACCTCAGTCCGATATCATTCGAGACCGAACGTTCAATAAATTAGACAGTGGGAATGAGTTGGAAAGATGTACATCCAGCAGTTTCATTCACAGAAGTCAATAAAATAAATCAAAATCAATGGAAACAAAACAGTGTTATTATGGATCCCCCCCAGACAAATAAACGGAAAAAAATAAACGAAAAAGACAAAAAAAAAATTAAACTTTTGATCAATGGCCCTTAATTGTCACAATTAAGATTGTTATTTTATAGATCCCCTTTCCCAAGTATCAATCACTTGTTCAAAGCTCTCTGTAAACATTCACAAATAAACATTTACCATTCGCCAGACACCACATGTCCATGACCAAACTCCTTCAACTCCACTGCGGCACATTTTCCGGTGAGGTACACAGCAGTCTGTCCGTGAGGTGCCATAAATATAATGCTCAGTATTAAATTCGTAAAATAGATCTCTCGTTGTCGCTCCTCTTGCGTCAGTGTTCCTTATTTTAACAATCGGTAATGCTGCTAAAAAAAGATCGAGTCTGAAGGGGTCTTCCTGCTCCTGTACAGTTTACAAAACAACTTATTTCAAAATATATCCAGAGAAGTCTTTTCTGTAAAAAATAAATAAGGTAGTTAAAAAACACCATAAAGAGGAAGACAGATGGGTGTGCGCTTGTGGGGTCTATTCTGTCCTCATTGATTCGTTATTAGAGTTTGAGATCTTTTGGAAGCTGTGGTTGTTCTTCTCCAACCACAGCTCGGCAAGTTGCTGCGTGGAGCCGTGCGAGGATGCTTTGGAGCCCAGGCACATTTTGTACTGCTTGGGATCTAGGTTGGGGTCGCAAACCACGGGGTGGTGGACATGCACGATGCCAGTGTCCGTGCTGCGGAACAGCTTGATCCCGGACTGGATGAATTTGTTAAAGAGGTCCACGTCCTCCAGTCCCCAACCTTGGATTGAGACGTCAAAGCCACCTGCTTTGACCAAGTCTCCTTTGTAGACACAGACGATCCCAAAACCGTAGTGTCTCCACAAGCCCGTTTTGGATGTGAACACGTAGTGGTTGTCACTGGGCACCTTGCCCGCGTAGACAACCTTTGGGTCGTACTGGCTAAAGATGATGGGAAAGTACGTCTGTTCCCCAAGAATGGTGTTCCCACGACATCGGGTCAAGAAGTCGGGAGTAAACAGTAAGTCCACGTCACAGTAGAAGAGTAAGGAATCATTGGTAAAGTGGGCCGAGCCGACCTCCAGGGCCAGAGCACGGGAGAAAGGGCCAGAGACCGGCTTGATCTCCATATCGGCTTTTGGATACTTCATGTGATACTCTCTCATGAGCTCGATCTGCTTAATACGCTCTGTGTTGTTGTCTGTGCTGAAAAGAAGAATCAGCAACTTGACGTTCTGGTTGGGAATGAGGCAGATCTTCTCAAAGTTGGCCATGAAGCGCACAAAGATTTCGTAGCGTCCCGCCAGCGGCACAAGGATGTTGATCTTCTTCTCTTTGGGTTCGTGCTGTTCGACGCCTGGGCCGCTCAGCTTGAAAGGGACGAGCATCTTGAGAGAGTTGGACAAGAAGGACAACGAGTCCGAGTCCTGGTTGATCCTAGCAGCCAGCACTCGGGCATCCATCTCCTCATCTTCCAGGAACTGAATTTTGCTGAAGGTCTGCTGAAGATAAGCATGCCTCCTCACGGGTACCGTCATGGTCTTCCCCTTGTGCTTCTTGTAGAGCAGCAGCAAATCCAGTACGTACTCTGCCCCGTACATGGGGTTCACCCTTCGGTATCCATACTGGATCTCTTTAAAGTCGATGACTCTACCTCGCGTCTTGGCATTGGCGTTAATCATCTCCATTACCTGCATGATGATGTCGTCCAGCGCCATCTTCTGCGAGGAGTCGATGCCTCGGCGTGGAGGCTGTCCGTCCGAGGACGAGAAAATGTACTTGCCCGTGAGGAACTCCCATTCTAGCACCTCCTCACGTTGGTGGGGATGGAAGCGCATGAACGAAGGAGGCATGCCCAATTGGAGGTCTTCCTTGTGCACCTCAGTGTTGCTGTAGCGGCTCATCTGCACAATCTCGCGGTGAAGCTGGATGGTGCGGTGGCGCAGCTCAGCGATCTTTCGGCTCAATATGTAGCTGTGCAGGCGATACTGGTATGGAGGATTCTTGTTGGGGTGAAGGGTTATGGCCCGGTGGATCTTGCTGTTGTGGAGATCACGGATGTAGCCCTTCTTGTTCGGCTCGTAATTCTCATAGAACAGCTGCTGCATCTGGAAAAGAGAAAATGGGTATTAATCCCATGGGTATTAACATATAAATGTTCCAACATCATAATAGCTCATCTGTGCAATGATGCAAAAGACATATCATTTCATTCAAACTTGAAAAAATTAAAACAAGAAAGGGCAACATGTGTCTTTAGAAAGGCCTCTTGTACTTTATTTTCCAATTAAAGGGCCAAACTGAAACAGAAACAAGCAAGTCTGCCTTAAGACACAGGAGAAGGAAAGTAAGACAGACACAGAAGGAAAGTAGCCACCACAGACCAACCGTGGAATCAAAAGCAATACCGTGACATGGGTAAGATTACAGAACAAGTCTTGTCTGAGGATTTTGGAAGGTGATACTATCACTAGCACAGAGTCACAAGACCCGACTGACCCATTTCTATGCCAATCCTGTTAAGTGGTTTGAATACGTCAATACAAGGGCAAAAATGGGCTCCAGACCAACATTTAAGACCAGAGATACTAGCACCTGATTGATTTGGTAGCACCATACAAATCATAACATGCATAAAAACATAACCTAATTTTTAAAGGGTAAAATTTAACTTAGTCTTGCAGAGTTACAATTACACTCTTATTAAAATTAACCACATATATAAAAATATATAGCACTATTGACACTTCAGAGGGATTAAATATAAGAGAATAGAGAGAGCAGGAGGTTCTAGATATTTAAAAAGAGTTATAAGTGCAATATATCCCGAAAAGGAACCCTGTGCGGTGCTCGTTGACTGGCACACTGCCAAAGTAAGCTGCCTTTGTCAGAAGGCAATCATGAATTTGGGATGTGCACTGTTAAAAAGTGTTAAGCATAATATGTAGTGAAAAAGAACTCAGTGTGGTGCACGTGCTGACTGACAGCTTAAGCGCATGGACAGAAAGCCTTCGTCTCTCAGGCTGTCTAAGTCAATTCAGTTGTCTTTCACGTCTTATTTCACTTGATTGGTCGAATACGCACACACACACAAATGTTGTAAACCAGATATATATATATATATATATATATATATATATATATCAGTATAATGGATCTGTGCCTTTGATCTTAAAGTGACAGCAGCCACTGTACTGCTCTGTTTTATTAATGGGAATTCACTTACTGCTCTTGACTTATTTTTTTTCTTTTTTAATAAGAATAAATTTATTTAATTCATACAGTGAAGACTATGCAGTATCTTACTAATTCTTACTACACCTATTGTACCTGAAAAAACTTACATTTACATTATATTTTTGTTGTATCTTTTTTGTCCTTTTGTTTGTAATTTGCTTCTTTTTCCTTATTTTTAATAACAGAAATGAGATCAAATAAGACAATAACTATATTGTGATGTATCGTTAGTCTGAAATAAAATTTCTCATATTGTGAAATAAGAATTTGGTCATAACGCCCACCCCTGATGTTAGTAATGTTGATAATTGTCCATTTTGAGATAAATAACAATTTTGTAAGTGCTACTTTCATTTCATCAATAGCTGCCATTATATTACGTGTATTGTCTCATAAAGCTGGTAGCAAATGATACCACAAAGACAACAACAACTCAAAACCTACGTTCTTCTCTACAATATCCTACAATTTTGCCTAATCATTTTGTAGACCAAGTAATAACCTGTAATCATTGAAGCCAAAACCAATGCTCCTAACGCCTGCTCTTCTGGCTCTGGTTGAAAGGCTAAGGGTGTGAGAGGAACATGGTGCCAATAAGAAGCTTAGACCTGAGAAATCTGAATAGCCTGAGAATGTTACTCAGCAGTAGTCAGGATTGTTTGAAAACTTCACTATTAGCCACCCTGTTATTATCCCAACTTTGGGTCACTTATTTATTCTTCTCATAAAAATTCCATGATGGTTACTGAGGTGATGAAGCCATTCATTAATGTTTTGAGTTAAATAACATTGTGTGCCATCTAGAAATAAAAGCAGAATTTGAGGTGCGGTCAAACAAGTTAAACTTGAAGAGGAACTAAAGTTCAGTTTAAACTCAAAATTGGTCCTCGCACGCAATCAACGGCAAATCAGCGTTGTTAACAAAATTACAAGAGCATCTCTTTGCCCCAAAGCAACCACTTACATTTAGTCTTTTAGCAGACGCTCTCACCCAAAACCACTCACAGTGCATCTTTATTATAGATGGTTCCCAAACCTTTTGAACAACGAATTTCCATAACTTTTCCAAATGAATTATTGGAAAATTAAAGTGAATATTGCAATTTCACTCACAAAGCAATTTATAGACGAGAATACACACTACAGAAATTTCAATGACTTATTTTTGGAAATCACTTTTCCAGGACTAGAAAAACCACAAATTTAAACCTTATATTTAAAACTTGAATTTCCAGGTTTTTCATGACTGTAGGCTATAGAAAGTGTATGATCAGTACTGTATTTTTTACATTTTCTAAAGAAAATGTCAGTGATTGCCATGCTACAGTGTTCTGGGGTGGGGGGGGGTTACATGTTGTCATGTGGTTGCTAGGGTGTTCTGAATGGCTGCTGGTTGTACAATACTTTATAACTGCTAAAAACACACCACCAATTAGGTCATGAGATGGATTTAATTTTTTTCCACAATACCCTAGAAAATGTTTCCCATCTGCAGCTCAGTTGCATGTACTTCAGTTGACACACAATGAAAACATTTGGACTACGCTGACATTCAGATAGCAGACATGTCCCTCCAATTGAGGATGCCAGAGAAATGAACTCAAGCTGCAATCGCAGCATGCCATGGAGCAAATGTGCCATTGCAGTGATAGGACTGTCATACGACGTCTTCGAGTCTAAACAAACACATTACAATCGGACACAATCACTTCATTCCCACAGATAAATCCACACAGGCATATGACCGCATCAGCCTGTTTTCTGTCAGGGCACGTATAGGTTTTCCATTACTGCCTATAACAGAAGCTAAAGCGAGAGAGTTTGTTTGTATGAAAAAAAAAGGAACAGCTCATCCAAACAATGGAAAAGTGCATCATTTATGCGCTCTACTGTGAATTATTCCTTTAAACTAAAGGAAAAGCTTGCCATAGAGAACAATTACAATAATTATAGTAATACAAAGAGCCAATCAATAAATAACTGTAAATAAATGAATTGAATATATAATCAAACACGCAAGTACAGCTCCTATGAAATACTATCTCAAGTACCATCTCTTTGAATAGGGGGACATTAAATTCTCTACAGCCATTTATCAAGCTCCAGTTTGTTTCTATAGCAACCGGAGCTTTTAACGGCAGCTGACTTTGCCAATCAGCGATTGGCTCTTTTGATTTAGAAGGCGGGGCTCATTCCGCCATATCGTCCATAGCACTTTCTCCCATTCATAAGTAATAGTGCGCCGTCCATTTATCTAAATTCTTAATTTAAGTTTAAAAAACTGTTGACAAACAACAAGAGAGGGAAAAAAAAATTAGTAGTGCACCAAAAAAAACAAAAAAACAAAACAAACAGATCGTGTCCTAATCTGACACTCAGCGCTGCCGGTGGCATGAAGACAACAGGATCAGTGTAAAGCAGCTCAGAGATGCTACATCTAATGTTTGACTTATCCTGCAAAAGGTCAGTACGCTCTGTTTCCCCTTTACACACACCGGGAGTATGTTTGGCAATGTTAAAGTCAACATGAAATCAAAATTGACCCCATTTAAATTCTTAATAAATCATTTAGTTGAATATCTTGTTTGAAATGCATCAGATTATGGAGCTAAAATGTTTTGTTAAGTGTTGTTAAAAGGTTTTCATGCAGACTTTCTTTAACAGCATTGATTGATTTTGATATACAGCTAATTCCCATGGTCCTGTACCCTCCACAGGCTCCACGGCAGATCTGTTATGACAGACCACCACTCCAGAGTGTTGGGTGACTCAAGGATTTGTTCCGGAATGGTAATTAGTGTGGGAATGTGCGGCAAGTGAAATCTGACATGGAGAAGCACATCCTGCCACTGGAGCATGTGATGCAAGATTACAGCTCAAATTCAATCCGTCTGAACTGACTACAGCTCTGATAACAGAGTAATACAACACGTTATGCTTGCTGGTTTTAAATTACAGCTGATAAGATAATGTGGCTTATTTCTCCTCTTTTGCAAAGGCTAACTTCATGTAAGGAGCTTCATCATTGAAAATCAACTATGCACAATTAGTTTGTGATTTTGACATTCAAGAATGCACACTGTATTGCAGTTAAATTACAGTGTATTACAACACTGGATTTTTGGCTTGTTTACCAGTAACAGGGTTATTATAGGTAACAAACTAGAACCATAAAAAAAAAAAAAAAACATTTGTTACTTGAATAAAATTATCATTAACTGAAATAAGTCTAAAGTTTCGAAAAATCGTTACTTTTTTTAAAAAAATCTCTGTATTTCTCTTTTGTGCATGTTAATATAACTTCCAGAGAGTCCATCTCATATTGTAAGTAGAGCAAATGGCCAGGCAGTGACGCGTGGAAATGTTGGTCCTGTGATGCAATTAATCAGCCTATGAGTGCGACTGACTGGAGAGGGTCTTAAACATGCCAGAGCCAGTGGGACAACACTAGGATTTATCTGCTGATGAATAAGCAACTTCACAGCTCAGCCAGCATGAAACACAAGCAGAATCAAAGTCATATATGTGTGACGCAACAACGAAGAGCTCGTCCCCAACCGATCCCAGGCAGAAAAAATTAAATAGGCCAATTGAGCTGGAACATTTGCCAGAGATGCTAACTCAGAGCACTGTGAAGTAAAACAATGCTAATTCTTTCCACTATTTAATGGGAAGCGTTTACTCCTGATGTTAAACACGTGTCAAAGCTGATTTGATGGCTGAGCACTTAACACTGCTGGTGAGCATCAAAAACAGATGGACTGTTTCTCTGAAAAATCTGATGGATGACGGTGCAGCACTGCATGGAAAAACTATTTGTTTACAAATGTATTACGTTAAAAACTACACTGAAACAATAAAAGGACAAAAC